CCCAGATGGTGTGATCTCATGTGACTGTTGTGGATTTGGCCTGATTGAAGTGAAATGTACCTATAAATATCGTAATGAGTCACCGACATGTCCTGAAGCACTAGCCGATAAGAACTATTTCTTAAAGAAAGATCAATCAGGGAAAGTCTCACTTGATATTAAGCATAAATATCATGCTCAGGTTCAGGCGCAATTGTCTATATGCGAACGTCCATATTGTGATTTTATTTGTTGGACAACTGAAGGTATTTTTGTACAACGCATTGCAAAGGACGAAGATTTTCTAAGCAAACACTTACCACAGCTAAAACGATATTTTATTGAGTATTTACTTCCAGAGATACTTACACATAGACTTCTGGTTTCTTCTGAAGAGCCTTGTAGTGCAAGCATAAATGATGTATATTGCTTATGTAGGAAAGAGGAATATGGAGAAATGATAGCCTGTGACAATAGTTCCTGTACAGTTGAATGGTTTCACATGGACTGTGTTAAACTTAATAAAGCTCCAAAAGGAAAATGGTTTTGTCCCACTTGTCGTAAGAAATGAAAGCATTCATTTTTGTGCATAATTTATTACTTTGTAAATTAACATAAACATACACCACACTCTAAACATAGATACTCCTCACTGTCTCCTTTAAATCTAGCTCTCTCTTTAATCTCATATTGATTTTGAATAATATTAATTAAGTAATTAAAAATAAAATAACATTGTCATTTTGGTACAACAGAGGGAGAAAGATTGGTCAATGCTGCTGTAACAATCAAAATTTTATCAATGGTACATAAGGAATCAGGTTGATCATGTTTCGCCTTTATTAATGAAATAGGAAGTGTTGCACTCAAAATCTTGTATTTTTTTCTTAAATTTCCTATTACACGTTCAACATGTATTCTTCTTTTAGCAATTTGCCTTGTTTCTTCGACTTCTTTTTGAGAGAGTTGTTTTTTTCCTCTAGTAAATGCAGGGATAATCAGTTTAGCTCCAATAACAGCTAATTCATCAACAATGTTAAAACCACGGTCAGCCATAACAGCATCACCACGACACAGTTTTTGCATAAAGCCACATTTACTTGTTATGACTTTGTCTGAAACCCGCCCTCCCCAACCTTTTGAAATGAAACAAATGGATCCTGTTGGAGATATAGCTATAAATACTTTTACCGTATTATGTTTTTTATAATTACTGTAAGTGGCAGCACGTGCTACAAATGAAGTTGGCCTCTCAATAAAGATTTCAAAGCAGTCCACGATACATTTCACATCCATGTAATGCTTCCGGAAAGACTGTGGCATATTTTTCCTAAGCTGCTCATCATCAGGCCATGGGATAAGACACTTCAACTCGATGCACATTACATCAAGCCACTTATGAAAAAAATTACTCACAGTCCATTCTGTTACATTAAGACGATATGCTATATCTTGATGGGGTACTCCTAATCGTAATTTCATCAAAACACCAAAGAATTCATCAATCAATGACAGATGTGACAGATAATCACGCTTTTCAGGAACTAAAGGTTTCAATAGTTCAAACAACTCTATAAATAGTGAATACTGAGTAAGACCAGTGTAAAAACATGTTGCCTTGTCATCATTTTTAATTATGTCTATACCAAAATTCATTCTTTTGCGAAGGTAGTTAACATATTGAACTGTCCAGCC